ACCCAAAATCCCAAAAATCCAACACTGCTCACTCTCTGAAAGACGAGATTCTGAATTCCCAAATGGCTACTGTCATTAAGCCCGTCCTCCGATTCGGCCTTCGTTGCCAGATCAGAGACAGCTTTTCCCCTGTTCGACGCACCGTGGACCCACGCATTTCATTGTCACATGGACACGATACTGTCGAAGGCACTGAAAGGGGAGGTCCTCTACCGCGAACGGACTCCAGACTGCTCACTGCATTGAATTCGAGGAGCCTTGAGGCCTTGAGAGGTGCCTGATGATCGCTATATCACGGCACCCATAGCCCTTACTGGTTCTTGTTCGCCTCCGATCTCAACCACGAATGACTCTATAGCGTTTTAATGGAGTCTCTACATCTGTAGCCTGAAGGCGGACCCTGGATCGCTCGACTGATGGATAGTCTAGATGGACCGACTGACCGCAAGCTCCCTCCATGCGATCAAAATCATCCAGACAGTGCACACTTAAGCTGATTGCACCATAAGTAAACTCGTTTTATCATGCAAGCTATTCCTCGGCTCGACGCTCGACGCGCATCCGCATTGATTGGTTGATTTTCAAATGTTCATTGCCCTTGACGCTGCACCATGGCACGCGACTCCCATCACGCCGGGATCCTTGAAGGCACACATGGAAGTGCCATCGCCTCCACGCGATCATTTAGTGCTTGAATCGCTAAATCCGGGCCCGACCCCGGGGCCACGCCAGGTCCACGAACATGTGTCACCGGCACACGACCAACACATTTCGAATTGACCATGCTATATATATATATATAATGCGCAGGGGACTGACGGCCTCGTTGGGTCGCAATGACAAGATTTTCGGCCACTTTACAGCTATGCATGCTCTCCTTGTTGTCGCTGGTCGTTGCTGGCCCACTCAAGAAGCTCGCAATCGCGGCAACGGAGCCAGATCCCTCCTTTGCGGTGTCAGTGCAAGTTGCGGGAAAAACATTCGTCAATAAGGTTCGTTACTTGGTTGATCTTCTTCCATCGGTGCTCCTGATCTTCCTCGTTGATTTACAGGGACTAGTGGCTTTCGGATTGATTCCATCGAACTTCGCGGATTCCACTGGTGCGTGACGCGTGATGATCCGCCGTCTATGAGTTGTCATGGATGGTTCCATTTTATCTTCGCTCATTGGGAAATCTGTGCAGATAACACTTTCGGTGGCGTTGGCAGCGCTATTGGTATCAGATCCGGATCGTTCGCAAAAACTTTGGATGGCAACTTCGCTGGCACGCTGATTGTGCAGCCTGATAGAGGTTTCAACATGCAAGTCTGTTCTTTCATGACTTACTTGCATGCTAATGTACATAACTTCAGCGATGGAACAGTAGACTATCAGGCTCGCCAGCATGTGCTCGACTTCAAGCTATCACCTTACTACAGCGCAGACAACCTATCATTCACGGGAGCTCAGAGCACCTTGCGGCTTTCTTATCGTGGGACCCTTCTGTACTTCGAGCGTGAGCATACCAAGACGACCGGCTTGGATGCCTTGGCCGTGCGCCCAGCGGACCGCGGATTCCCCACCATCATATCGGCAGACCCGGCGATGCCTATCCCAGCGAAGAACTTTTCGCATCTGAGCGTGGATGCTGAAGGCCTGGCGCTCAACAAGGATGGAACGTGAGTGCTCTGGGACAAACAGTCTTCGATGTCGCTAATCGTATCGCACCAGCTTCTTCGTCAGCGATGAATATGGGCCTTATATCTATTTGATGGATCCAGCGGGCAACCTCCTGGAGACAATTCAGCCACCAGCTGCATTCCTTCCCTTGATAGACGGTGCGCTCAACTTTACAGGATCGATGAACCCCGACACCGGCCGCGTCGCGAATCAAGGTAACTGGTAGCTTGAGGCTCGCAGCATTCTAGTGACTGATGCCTCGTGTTCTAGGCTTCGAGGGCTTGACCCTCGACAACACCGGCAACACCCTTTACGCGCTGCTGCAGTCCGCGCTCGTGCAAGACGGCGGCGATGACGACACCACCTCGCGCTTCACGCGCCTGCTCGCGTTTGACGTGTCGGCGCCCTTCCTCCGCCGGCCTGAAGTCACTGGCGAATGGGTCGTGCCCCTGCCGCAGAGCAAAAAGAATAAAACCCGCGCGGCAAGTGAGGTGCACTTCGTGAGCGAGTGCGTCTTCCTGGTTCTGTCGCGCGACGGGAACGGTCACGGGAACGACAACGACGACTCATCGTACAAGTGAGTGCGCCCCTTGTAGTATTACGGGCAGCGCGACTGATGTGTGCTAGACAAGCGGATCTATTGGACATTAGTGGGGCGACGAATATCCACGGAACGCAGTTCGACCTGTCGAGCGGGTCCATTGTGACTGATGGTACGTTGGACAGCTCGATCACACCCGGGGAGTATGTATCGTTCGTGGATTTCATCGACGACACGCAGTTGGCCCGATTCGGGCTGCACAACGGTAGGTCCAATCCAACCTCCCAGATCAATTTTCCTGTTACTCGTGTGCATGTCGCTCAATTTCTGTTATAGGCGATCCGGATGACCAGACGTTGATCGACGCCAAATGGGAGTCACTTGCACTTGCGCCTTGTCTCGATCCAGACTTTCCCAATGACTTCTTCCTCTTTTCGGCGGTAAGGACTGTACGCTGCGGAGAATGCGCTTCAGCTGATATATGCACGGCAGGCTGACAATGACTTCCTCACTGAGGACGGCTTTGTGAACGGCGTCCCATATAACGCGGGGATCAATAACGATAATCAGTTCTTGGTCTTCCGACTTACATTGCCCACTGTCCCGGAGAAGACCTTCGACAACGAGTAGTCAGCGGCTGGTGCTGCTCTCGGTGAATACGATGATTTACTGCAGTAGACCATGAATGCGTACACCGAGGCTGGTGCTGGGTGAGGGGCTACGTCTCGCGAATACCATGCTTCCGGGTGCAGTTGCATCTGCGGAGGTTCAGGTCACCAGTGGGTCTGGGGAGTGGCGTTGGAGAAATTATACATCAAATCCCAGTCCTGCATGCTGTCTGCCCCATATCTGATGACGGAGGTGCTGTGGGATAAGTCAACTCGTACTGATCTGAAGCCCATTCAGAACCTTCCAGCGAATTCTCACCACCGGACGTAGCTCCTATGTTCCGCGGATGTGCCTGCAATGCACTGGACACGGTAAGAGTTTACATCCTTTTACGACGTTGGGACTGAGAGCGGCGCATACAACGCGCCGGCCCAGTCACATGTGTAGCTTCCGACTTGCTGAGTGTCATACAATCTACAGACTGTGCCATTGTTCCATCTTCCAAGCATACGTCCCACGTGAGAATCGGTGCCGCCTCGTGCTTGATATGGACCTACTTTCGATTCCTGGAGTACGCGCTTGCCACACATTTGTCAATGCGATAAATGGTCATATAGATGTGAGAGCGTCATTCACCGCGCATTTACCCTGATTGATACGGCTGCCATCATAACCCTTGGAGTCTCCGTTTCGGAGCGAAGCGTTACTGTTCTACACCGGCCGTACCTTTTCGCCGATGTGCAGTCAGCCCACTGTTCGTCAGAAGAAGCTAACTCCAAAGGTGAATATGCATTCGCTGGTCGGTCGGGATGTACTCACGTGCAAAATCCCGATTTTCGCCTCGCTAAAAACGCAATTGGCAAAGTGTAGTCCGGATGAATGGCGCCAATTTTTGAATGATGCATATTTCGGATTGCGTACCTTACAGTCAAAAGCATGTCCATCCAATCGCTTGCAAAAAACTACCGATGACACGCGTGGAAGCACTGAGCTCGTGTACATCTTCGCCCTGAGAAGCATTTCAGAACGAGGGTCACATTGGAGGCGTAGTCGAGCAACAAGCGACCGGTCCAACTTCGTATGTCAGGCGTCATGTCGGCGACAAGACAATTCCGGATGTCCTCTTTTGTACGACTGAGAAAATGTGCTGGAACTCGATGCTCAGGCTTCACGGATGAGAGGGGGGCTTTGAGGTATATAAGTGGGTCTTTCGCCATTCGGTTCCTTCAGGCTTTCGCTCAAACATCCCTGCACTAGCACGCGAATCCTACGCAACTTCTCTGAGTAGGTCCTATTGTTACAGCCATGCAATATATACTCACTACACTGGTAATCTCAGCAACAAATGTCTGCTACAGGCTCCATCAACGCCGCTGGCTTCAACAAGTTCATCGGATCTTTCACCGTTAATGGTGTCAAGAGGAACGTGAGTGGTAACCTCTCCGACAGCATCCAGAGCTGGCAGTGCAGCCAAGCCACGCTCGATTATGAGAGCGTTGGGCACAACACCAGCACGCGCGACTTCTCCGGGACCATCGGCACCGACGAGATCAGCCTCACCTTCACGAACGGTCCGACGATCAAGGGCACGCTCGACCAGAAGCTCACCCTCGCGACTTCGGTCATGGGCTCCGCCACCTGGGAGTCCGACTGAGGTGAGTGTACGTGCCTCAGATCGTCGACAATGCTGACCTGAGTAATGACGTAGTGTTACGCACGTTCTACGGGACGGTAGAAGCGACGTACAAGGGCGTAGGGAGATCGTAATGTCACAAGGGTACTTGGAAAGCACCGTATCTGCACAATCAAGCTTTGTGTGATATGTCGAAATGGATGTGAGGTCGGAATGATCAAGTCACCCCCGTGGTACGGTGTGCGAACGTCAAGCTAGGCAGTATGATGTGTTTAACTCCTAACATATTAAAGTGCGGTCGATGAGACAAATATAACGTAGCGCTCGCGGATAGTGGTGGACCTTGACCACTGGCGGGTAGAGCCGCGAGCTCAGACCTACGAGCCGGCACGCGCAGAGTGGCCACTACTGACAAAGTCAAAATACTGAACCATTAGATCAATGCAAGGTGTAAGTATCGTCATGAAAAGGGACTGACCGAGAATTGGATTGCCACCGGTATGTAGATCGAAAAGCCATCCAGAGGGTAGCGGTGAAAAAGGCAAACACATTGTCTATCCTTCGAACCGGGATCGAACCAGTGACCTTGAGATGCACTTAGGTAACCAATTACAGTCTCACGCTCTTCCAACTGAGCTATCGAAGGCTTCATTTGACACCCCGCTTAAGCATCACTATTACCTCAGCGCAGCTAGACCAGACAGCACGTTTTCGAGAGAGCGCAGCTCGTTTCAGCTCCAGGCTTTCCGGAGACTTGTCCGTCCCTATCGCCATCATTCGGTGTCACGTCGAATGCAGGTGCCGTTGCAAGTCGGAAGACGAGAGGGAGAAGAGCTGCATGCCATCGCAGTACAATGATCCTGAGCAAAGTTGATCGACGGAAACTCGTACGGGCTGCACACCTTACTACGGCAAACATATCGTGGCAGCGCAGTTCTCGCCACTGACAGCATCTGCCTTGACTGCCGGATAGAGTCATGGAAGACGCGCGCATCGGAGGCAGTGTGCCGGGTAGAGTTGCCAGGGGCGGTCTGAGACGCGAGCTCACCTCCATTCGACGGTAACGGTTCATTGAAGAGCTTCCACGAGACTCACCTGCATAATGTCAGACGACTCCTGGTCTATCCTACAACTATATATGTCACCGTGCTGCTCAGCGTCTTTGAAGTGGGCGGCGCAAGCACCTATCCATGCATCAGCGTTTGCCGGAGCATCAGTCGCCAAGGTGGATACTGCAGGGCAACAGCGTAAGCAGTAAGCAATGCTCGCGCCAGGACCAGCGCGTGATGCTGTGTGCGCCTGGTCACCGTCAATTCTGACCAAAGAGGGGCCGGCAGCAACTGGGTCAGTTTTGCGAGTATCGCCGGATGTGCGTGGTGCCAAGGGCCTCTCCCTGCCCTCAGGTAAGAGATTACAAACATTTATACAGCCAGTAATGAAAGCTTATTGCTACCTGGCAGTTGGTTGCAGTTTCCTTGCACAGATTACTTCAGAAGACGTGCAAAGAACAGCCTGCACCAACTGATCTGCGGGCGCACCTTGCCGATGGGTATTTGTCTTGATTATGGCACTCTGCAGACGAAACGCGGACTGCGAGATGGTTGCGTATTGATGCATCAAACGGAGATGCGCGACGATGACCAAGTGTGGCGCCTCGCGATCGGTGGCGGTATGTGGCTGTGGCAGATTGTGTCTCACGATTTCGCTTTATATACGCCCACTATGCATCTCAAAACCTTGAGCTTGCTCCATAGCCCACTTCGTCCACCTGGTTTCTGTTCTTCGTTTCTTCACCTTATTCTCCTTTAATAGCCCCTAGGCTCAAGTTTTCCTACATCGCTGGTCGATTGTAGACTTTACGACGAACTCACTTACCTGACGCTACCTGAAACACGATTATAGTCATGAACTCTATCAAGCTTACCCCCACCGAGGTTCTTCTTCAAGTCGCGAAGTCGCGTCCCTTTGCGACCGCAATTCGCTCCGGGAAGACGGAATGGTCATATGCTGCCCTCTGGCAGCGTGTTCGTGAGTTGGCGAACAAAATTGACGAGCTCGAGACCAGCGGTCGTCCCATCGGCATTTACATGGGGTGAGCTGAATACACACTCGGATGCAGTACCAACATGTACTAACTATCTGTAGTCTCGAGGTTGACTTCGTCGCCGCTGCTCATGCTGTATGGCTGTCTGGCCGCACTGTAGTCTATCTCAACTCCAAGTGGACCCCTGAAGTGCTCCGCGTCATACTTGACCGCTCCAATGCAGGCCTTATCCTGTATGGAGATTGCACGTTCACCGGCGTCGAGCACATCCCCTCTGTGTGCACTTTCGACTTTGTTCCGCGCCAGCCTCCTTCCTTTGTCGGACTTCCCTCCGCTCACGAGTCGGTCGACCGCGTGCCGCTGATCTGCAGTGTCACTCCCACTAGTGGCAGCACCGGTGTCCCGAAGAGCATCGTTTACCCGATGCGTAGGTCTCTCGACGTTCTTACCGAGGAGTCTACGACCTTGCTCAAGCCTCGGGATGGGCAGTGGCTCCGTGGTGGCACGGTATGTCTAGGATTGCCACGAATACAGTAACATTACTGACTGTACTATTCCTAGACCTTCCTTCGTCCCCTCTTCGAGCTCCGCCGCTTTATGTACACTCAGAGCACTCTGTACTTGGACTCGGCGACCTCCGTCGCCGGTCAGTGCGAGAACTTTGCGAACGAGCTTGAGGACGCGTCTAACACGCAGCCGCTTCGCACACACTTCACTCCGGGAGTCTTCAAGGCTTTCGTCGACTACGTCAAGCTGAAGTACGGCGAGAACAAGTCCTGGAGCAGGGTGTACTGGATGGTCATTGGAGGCGAGAACCTGAGCCCCCAGGACCTTGCCATGGCGAAGAGGATCTTCCCTGAAGCCACTCTGGCGTGCAACTATGGTGTAAGTTCGCATGTATTCTTCATCGTTCGTATTGTCCTGATGAATGATCTCATCGTACTTCAGTGCTCCGAGGTTGGTTTTGCCGGTGTCAACCAGCACTATGTCCGCCCCGACGAACCGGTCCCCGAGACGATCACCTTCGACGCCACTCAGGGCTGTGACGACCTCGTTCTCTTGAACGACGACATGGAGGTGGTCCCCCGCACCGAGGGCGCTTCGGGCATCATCGGGATCGTCTCCACGCAGAGCGCGACGCGCTACCTCGGGAACGACGAGGCGACCGCGCACATGTTCCGGCCGTGGGGCGGCGAGCGCATGCTGCTCTACACGGACGACATAGGACACATCGCGAAGGACGGACGCATCGCGATCAAGGGCCGGCGCTCGCGCAACGTCAAGATCAACGGGCTCTTCGTCGACCTCGACTTTGTCGAGCGCGCGCTCGCGCAAGCGTTCAGCCCCGACGCGCCCGGCCACGGCCTTGCCGCGTACAAGCTCGTCAAGTCCTCGAGTGAGAAGATCATCATGTTCTGGACGGGCGAGTCGAATGAGATGGACGTGCTCAAGCGTGTGCGCGAGTCACTCCGTGCGCAGCTCGGCGACAACCTTGCGATGGTTGTCGCGAGCACCCGCCAGCTGCAGGAGATGCCCTATAACGCGAGCTACAAGGTCGACCTCGCCAAACTGCAGACCTTCGCCGATGAGACCCCCGCAGCCAGCGAAGCCGCTGCCTTCGCCCCCGCAAGCGCTGCCAAGAACGCCGTTCAGGAGGTCGCCTCTGCCATCGCAGGCGAGGTCGCCCGCCTCAGCAACGCGCCGGGCCCCGTCCCGACCGACGTCCCGCTCATGCTCGCCGGCCTGAACTCGATCACCGTCGTCCAGCTGAACTTCTGGCTGCAGACACGCTACGACTGGGACGACGACATGGTGCGGCTCTTCGAGGATGACGCGACCGCGGAGGCCATCGCGCGTGATATCGTCGGCGAGGCCGATGAGAGCGCGGGTGCAAGCGACTCGGACGACACGCTCGTTGAGGAGGCACCGGAGGTCGCGGAAATTGCGCGGGCTGTCGCAGCGCAGGTCAAGAGGCTCAGCCGCTCGGACGAGCCGGTGCCCACCGACGTGCCGCTCATGCTCGCCGGCCTCAACTCAATTACGGTTGTCCAGCTCCACTTCTGGCTGCAGTCCACGTACGACTACGAGGAGGACATGAGCCGGCTCTTCGAGGAGGACGTCTCCGCTGAGGTTGTCGCTCGCGACATCGTTGGCGACGCTCCGTCTAGCGAGTCTGAGGATTCGGACTCCGTTGAGGCGCGGTCTGAGTCTGGCGACGTTAGCGACACGGACAGCTCAGAGAAAATGGAGATCGCGTGTGCGATTGCGAAGGAGATCGGTACCTACTGCAGAGCGCTTGGGCCCGTGCCGACGGACGTGCCCCTCGTGATGGCAGGCCTCAACTCCATCACGGCTGTGCAGCTGTACTCGTGGTTGCAGGCAGTGTATGACTACGATGATGAGATGAGCAGGCTACTGGACCACAGCGTCACCGCTGAGGTACTGGCGCAGGACATCCTTGGTGCGTTTCTTGTCAGTTTCAGTCCCATCTTTGATTCTTACCCTGCCACTACAGGTTCATCGCCTGCTTCGTCTGAGGCTCCTGAAACCCCTCAGGACACCATCGAGGTCGTCGTCGAGGTTGCTGATGAGAACATCCCCTCGATCAGCCTTGACGAGGAGAACTCCCCCAGCTCTGCGTCTCTGGCTGAGGTCGAGGTGACCATTACTTCTGAGCCCGAGCCCAAGTCGCCTGCTCCTACCCGTCGCACTCGTCTCATGCCTAAGGCACCTCTCTCTGTCAAGGTCTACCCTACTCCCGAGGAAGTCCCCCTGCCAGAGGCACCAATGCCATCATCCACCGCCAAGTACCTCACAGCAGAGGCCGTCCTCGATAGCAGCATGCCGGCTGCGGAATCTCTGTCTGGCAAGAAGGCAGGATTGGTATACGGATTGTTGGCACTTGGCCTACTCGGCTCCCCTCACTCGCCGACCTTCCACCTCGCGCAAGCTCAACAGGCGCTGTCGCCCCGTGCTCCCGCCTCCGCGCACACACCGGTCTTCTCTCCCTGGCTGGACACTGTCCGCTACCCTGCCATGGAGGCTATCCAGTCGCCATGGGTGGCGGATGCCCCCCACCGCAGCATCGACAGCGTCCTCTTCCCGCAATCGCCACGCGTTTTCTGATGACCTCATGGGTTCACGCTTGTTTATGACTATCAGGTATAACGTTCGTCACGACACGCTCTTTACGACATGCTCCTTTTACGACTTGAGCCTAGGGCTGGACCCTTTTCACGAGTAGACACGAAATAATGTACAGAAACCTTGCACATAATATCTAATAAATAACGAAGAGGGCTAAATTAAAACATCGCGCGATGATTGCAGTTCTCCGTATCGAAGGTCGATGATGCGAAAACTCCCGGTTCGTGTGTAGTAGAACGCTATGTGTACTGCCACCTGGTGGCTATCGCAGTCGGGACCCCAGTGGTCATCTTTCGACTCAATGTCAGAAGTCAGGAAGAGGTTGGGATGGTGTCTTGACCTGCGTAACGGAGGTTGGGTACATACAAAGATAAGACTACGGAGAATTCCTGAGGCACTATTGCCGCTGCCGCTGCCACCGCCACCGCCACGTGTAGCACTGGAACCGTGACGTA